CTGCTGGGCTTGATATTTTATCCATGGGAGCAACCCCGCTTTATTCACCCAACACCATTTGCAACCGCTCATCAGCGGCTCGACGATTCCTTTTTTAGGGATGGTCCAGAAGAAGAATTTCGGAATTTTGTAAACCAAAAAAAGGGTGATCTCGAAAATGGACTTAAGGGCGTCTCTGGCTTTCGCCATGGACACTTCATGCGCAGTTCGCCATCGTTTCCATCCGCCACCTCGACGTGCGGGGAGATAATCGACGACATGCCTGTGCCCGTTCTTCGATGCCAAGCGAAGAGCAAGCTCTCCGTCTGGTGCGACCTTGGAGTCATCGCATTGATAGGTCTCGATGAACATCTTGACTAGTGGAAGATTCCCAAGCTCAGCAGCAAGCTGTAACGGAGTTCTCCTGATGGCAGCGCGTCCAACTGGTAATAAACGGAATCCCTGAATCCGAGTTAGAATAATCACTAAGTGTTATATTATAACCCAAAAGTGTTCTCCTTTATGAAATTATGCAATTCTCCATGCTGCGAATGATGTTTAAACAAGAAAAGGGGATATTCCCACCGAAATCGCATACGCGTCAGGTTCCGCACCAAGATCAACCAATTCTTGAATCGTCCTTGTTCTTCCTGCCTTAACAGCAGCCAGCAACGGAGACATACCATCCGTGTCGATGATGTTGGGGGAAACCAGGTTTTGTGATATAAGCCATGAAATGGTTTCGCTCTTCCCAGCAGAGATGGATCTAAAAAGAAGACGGGTGATAGCGAGTGCGATGAATGACAATTCGTCCGTTGCAAGTTCGCCTCTGTAAATTCCAAATTGGGCGCGAGATGATACGATATCCGATAATCGTCGATGTTCGTCCTGTAACAGGTCTTTGACAATGTGCGGATCAAGTTGAGATTCATCAGGGGATGACAAAAGCCCGTTCAGGAATAACTGGATTCTATCTGGGCCGCCTTCTCGCTCAGGGTGTTCTTGGTCTTCGTCATCTTCCGTGTATCGCGGAAGACCCTCCTCATTCTCCGTATATAGCGGAAGTTGCTCAACCGCAGGGGTGTAGATTGCACCTGAGTGTTTTACGAACGTACTCATGTTGAATTAAGAACAACAAACTGCTATTTCATGTGGGTGCTGGAAGTCGGAAGCGAATGTAAGGTACAAAATACCGAGAAGAAACGTAAAACATCGGGATCAGAAGCATGGTAGCCCTCCTCCCTTTCAACAACTAGGCTGACGTGAATTCCTACTCCGCCATTGACGCCAAGTGAGCTGGTTAGTTGCATTTATTTGTCCACTCGCTAGCAGGGCCACTTATTTGGTCTAGAAGTTCAGCCACATCAACTCAAAGTGAACTCTCCGAATAATCATACTTAAAAATAGTTTTTCGGGGGCCGTGTTTTACCTTTGGAGAGTGCTTAGACTCCGAGTGGACGATCAGTGATCGCATATGGTTTCGCTGTGGGATAGATAGAAAGGAAAGGTGACCAAAATTTATACCGCCATGAAATATTGTAGTAGTTGTTGTTCTTCTTATTTTTACTAAGGCCATATGCAGTCTGAGACTATGACAGCCTTCACCTCACTAGCCTACCCTTATGTTCAGCTACTCTCTAGTTACATTTCTCTATTCATAACTGGGTCATCCTTGATGGAGAGACTTCACTATACCATTCTGGATCTAGCCCTCAAGGGGGGCCTTGCCTCACAATTGCTCATGCAATACTAAACAGTTCCTTGTCACTTGGACTACTCCGTAGACATGTAAGAATCACAACATCTTAGAATCCCACACTATACTGAATCCATCTAGACTATATACATAGTGTTGAACATTGCTCCACCCTGCAGTGGCAGTTACCAATAGAAATGAGATAAGAAAGAATACCCCCAATATTCATCAAGATGTGATAATATCCTTTTAAAGAGGGTGGGATTCAAACCCACTACCTTCTTGTCTCAGCAGAGGTGGCCCCAACATCAAGTGCCTACTTGAGAAAGCATTCCATGAACAGCGCTTGCCACTACACCATCCACCCCCCCATGAAATATTGTACGGACGCCCTCATAAAAAAAGTTGTAAGTTATCCATTGTCAATTGTGTATGTCATTGAGTCCATCAGCACAAAGACTTTCATCATCTATACCTTTCGATTTCAACGGAATTACTACCTCTATAGTCTGTAAGATGGGGGTGTGGCCACTCAGAGCATTCCATTTTCATCGGCTGTTTTAAATTCAATCCTGTCCACGTGACGTGAAACCTACGCCGCTTTTATTTCACTAACACACCTCAAATCTCTTGTCCGCAACCATTTTCCACATATATATTCAAAGACAACAATAGTTGCAATGTTGTATTTACAAGCTATCAATACTCAGTCTCATTGTAGAACAGTGATGCTCTACTTCTCACAATGTATAAATTCAATGTCTTCCACTTCTTTAAAGCATTTTCTTCATTCACTCTCAGTGATACTGTCTCTACTGTCTTCGCACACATTTATTTACACTGTTTTTTTTCAATTTTCTTGTGCAAGTTACTTTCTCCGCCTCCTTCTGTTATCTGAATGACATGTTTTCTCAATGAACTTGCTTATGAAAGCCCTTCAAACCTTTCAAGAAGAGCCGACGTGCCCGGAAGAAGATAATTGAAGAGCTTATCTCAGATGAATACTGTAGGAGAGATGTTGTTAGATTAACTTAATTTCAGATTATAGATAAGAAGTATATTGATGTTATAATTATTATCATCAATCATATTCAGCGCTTTTGAAATTTTAGAGCTTCATACACATTAGATTCATAACGGAATCTGCTGACATCTCTTATGAAAACATTGTTCATTTATGAGAGTTGATGCACATTTTCATCTTTCCACATGTGTGGACAAGAACTTCTGAGTCTATACTGATTGAAAATTGAAAAATTTCAACATCATCAAACAGAGTACAATTTGAGTTGAATGGAAATTTCTTCAACTGCTCTTTAAAAGAGAGACAAATCAAAAAATGGATGAATTGATGAGTGAATTAATCAGTAAAATAAAGATTCAATTCAAAACATTATTCTTTTCATTTTTAATTCTTAGTATTAGTTCATTCTGAGTCCTCTGACTGATAAGTATGATTTGAATTTGTTGATTGATTATAAACTGATAGTGAGTGTAAAAGATCTTGTGATCATTCTTCATTATCATTAATGTTTGAATACAACATCTATTATTCATGAATGATATATTCTGCAGAATTCATTGCTCATATTGTTTATTATCTACATCTCAACACAATTTAAAACACTCATTAAAGGTGATTGTCTTTGTGGTTTCAATGATGCTCTCTGTTATAAGAATATTGTGCTGTGTATGATTCTTAATTCAGATCAACTGAATCAACATGTATTTGTGATGAAAGTATTTCTAATATTTATAAAAAGAAAGTGAAACAAATCACAACTGTGAGCTCTATCTGCCTCGCATTTTATCTTCAAAAACTCACTTGAACAAGAATAATCTATATTTTTCATAAATAAAATGACAATCTCATACTTTATTCTGTTTTCCACTTTCTTACTCTGACACTGACTGATGATGCATTCAATACAAAAGACATCAACTTAGTTAAAGATGTGCTCTGCATCTGAATTATGATACTCTGTAACAGTCTGCATTTGAAATGAAAACCTCACATACTCAATATTTCTGTGTTTCATTGAGTTGTACATGTTGCAGAGAGGATTCAAATCTCTTTAGATATAGCTCTGCTTTATAACACATTCAATCAGTATCTTCAACATCTGAAATGCAATGCAGAATTTGAGCACAAGTTGACACTGTATTATATCAGATGAGAAATCATCAATATGGTTGACAACGAATATTCTCATCAACATTTTCACACTTTCATTCAATGATGTTCTGATATTTCCATGCCCAGCTATTGCAATCATCAGTGAATGTAACCAAGTCATAAGCCATTTCTGAATGAATATCTTTGAATGTTATTATATATCACTAAGAATCGACTTTTGAGGGCCCGGACGGCCGAAAGTGGAAGGTTTGGGTGCCACTTTCGGCCGCCCCAGCACCGCGAATTCGCACCCACACTAATAAACACTATACCAGATCTGGAAATCACCACCTGCTGCTTTTAGGGAGGCTCCATGGGCTCCCTGTAGCACATATGACGTCACCCTTGCACCTCACCCTCCGCCTCACCCCCTGCTCACTGTGCTCGCTCGAAGACGCGCGAATGTTCACCCCCTATTCACCCATTCACCCAGTTGTCCAATCACCCCAACCCACTCGGGCGACCCACCGCGCGCAGGTTCACGCGCTTTTCACTCCTGAAAATAAGCTGGCCACGCTTCCCACGATGGCTGCGCCATCATATAAATACCGCCATGTCCCACGGCCGCTGACCCTTCTTGGATCACGTTGCCATTCTTTCTCTCCTCTCTTATCTATATCTGTTTGCACATTGTTATGTTGGTTGCCGGCAGGCTGGTCTACTCTAATCCTCCCTGCCGGAAACATTCTCCCAGCTACTTGGACGCCATTGATAATCACTCTCCTTCGCTGAAGTGCTACGGCCGTTGCAAGATCCAAGTCACTCGAAGGCTTCTTGCGTTGGCATTAGCTGGTTTTCACCATCCAATATCAACGACACCAAGTGATGACGGTGGTACGCTCTAAGGGTAAAGGCGCTGGTCG